CTTGATGTGCTTGACGTCATCAGGTATTTCTGAGCAGCCTCTTCTTTTGAATTTAGGAAAAAAAAAAAAGTTGCTGTTCTGTCCCATTCTTTGTGCCGCTTTACATCAGTTCAGCTGACCCCAGCCTCAGCCCGCTCCTCCGAGCGGCACGAAGTCCCAGTGGGGAGTGCTCAGCACCATCCTCGGCAGGGCCGCCTCGGGGCGCGTAGCTTCAGAAAAGCTGAGAGGTTGATCTAAGGGGAGAGGGAGGGAAAAGTGCAGAACTCAGAGGAGACCGATTCAGTCTGCTGCCAATCAAAAGACAGTGGTTTTTGCTGTATAATCCAGCCAGGGCCTTACAGACTACAGCTCCTCTGAGGAGCATCGCAAATCCCCGTAATGTTCCCAAGTGCGAGATTTTGTCTTTTTGTCCCTGGATTAGCTGTCAGCTCTATACCAGCCCAAGATCGCTAGAAAACTCCCCAGAGACTGTGATCTTGCAAAGAGGAGAAAACGCTGCCTGTTTGGGGCATATACTGCACAGCATTTTGGCAGTACAGATTCCCTCTGCCAGGGCATCTTTCTGATGCCTCAGCGCTTGGGTTCATGCAACCTGCCCAGATTTTGGACAAACAGGATCCACAGTTTAGAGATTTAGATGGGGGAAAAAAACAGGCCACCTGACAACGACTGGGCTGGAAAAGTGGCTTTTCAGCCAGCGGGCATTTAAGCCGAAGCATCAGAAAGGGAGTGCGGAAATTCGGCCTTCTGCTTGACGGCAACAGTTTTATGGGGCAGGGGGGACTGGAAGGGGAAGAGAAGGGGCAAAATGGTCCAACCAGTTTCCTCTGTTGTTTTCCAAAGAAAGCATTTCATTTTGGCAATGCCAAGGTGGTTATTTTGAGATAGCTCTGGGGGGGAAAAAAAAAGGTCCAGGGCAGCGGTTGTGTTGGCCTAAATTAAAAGAACAAGGGCTCTGCCAAAAGAGCTGGGTCTCCTGAAAAGGCAGCCACCCATCTTAGTGGAGGGTGGATGACAGTAGAGCCCAAAGCCAGGTTTTCATCTGCTTTCTGCTTTCTGCTTTGCTAAGAAACAAAAAAAAAATAAAATCATGTTTCCATATTTTTCTCCCCTTTGGTTCTACCTGTGAATACAGAGGCTGGGGCAGCTCACCCCTCGTGTGTTCGAGTAACATATTTCAGGCCAGCGCAGGGATGCTCAGTGCTGCCTCCGAAATGGCTGGGCTTGGTCATCTCTTGACGTTCCTCCCAGCCTTCCATTCCTGTGATTTTAACCAAAAAAGCTGAATTTTTTAAAAAATTGTCCTTTGCCCACCTCTTTTGAGAGGAATGGCAGCATCCCAAGGATTTTCTGTCAGACGAGAGGTCCTCGCCAGGTCCTTGCTACATCAACAGGTGCCGGAGATGAGCAGTGCAGGTTGTTAGTGTTGAGTTCCCATTTTGCAGAGCTGCCCTGGTCCTTGGCCGGGGCAGGGACACCGCGGTTGTGGACTCTGCCCAAAGAGCAGGCAGATCTGCTCATTCCTTCCCCAAAATGCATGACCACCTCTCCAGCACGGACCTCAAAGGCACGTGCGGTGCTTTTAGGACGTCCCCTTTGTCTGGCTCCTCTTTCATGACGTCCCTCCTTGCACAGCTGCTTTCTGATACATCTCCCTTCTCTTTCCATCCCGTGGATAGAGGCATCTCTGAGGGCTGTTTAATGATTTTTTTTTCCTCCCAAACGAGCTTCCTAGGGAAGAAGAAGGGCCCAAGAGGGCTAAGAGACATGGGCAGGAGCAGGAAGGGGCAAAGAAGGGCCGCTTCCCAGCGCTCCCTTGCGCTTTCATCTGAGCTTAATTGGCTCGCAGGGCTATAAATCTTCTATAGTTAAGTGCCAGGAGAAGGCTCTGGCTGAAAAACGTGTGTGGGTGTCGAGGCAGTATTGGATTCTCAAATAAGATGATTAACAGGCAGCCAGAGGGCGACAATAGAGAAAACAATCATCTTCCCCTTTCCTTGCCACCCTGATCTCCAGAGGAAGCTTTTTTGTTTAAATTTTAATGAAAAGGGTTTCTCTCCGGGAGTGCAGAGCAGGCTGGCTGGAGTCTGCCCATCCCCTGCTTTGACGCTGGCAGGCGATCAGCTCATCCTATTTAAGAGGTACAGGCACTTACTTCAACTTTAAATACAGCCAGCTACAATTATTGGCATTTCCATTGCATTTGACCCCAGACTTTTAACAGCAGAAAATGAGTCTACCTGATGGAAAAGCCTGTTCGGCATGTCAAAACACAACAGCATCCATCAGACTTCATGAGGCAGAGAATTAAAATCTGTTATGAATAGCGCAGGCAGCAGCACGGCACAGCCAACACGGAGACCTATAAGCTGTCGGAAGAGATGACAATTTCAAGAGGTTGCCAGAGAAATATCGCAAATGAGTTCACAGCCTTTCTGAATGGGAATATGCTTTTCCATGAGATGCTGGTTGCAGGGAGAAGCTGCAGCAAAGATCATTTGCTAGAGATTTCCAAAGGGGCAAGGGCAGGAGCAAAATCCACAGCGATTGCAAAAATCCCCAGCTAATGACCAAAAAGGGTTTGGGGTTTTTTTGGGGGTTTTTTTTTTTTTTGGTCCTCCCATCCCTCTTTGAATTCAAATAAGGAAGGGCAACTGCAGGGAAAAGTGGGATCACTTTGTGAATACCAAGTGATGTATGAGCAGATGCGCTAGCATGCAAAACAGAGGTCTTGAAAATAATAAAATATACTTGACGTCGTGGTAGTTATCACCAACCTCTCCACGTTTAGCCTTGAGGACCCCACCGGGTAAGCAAAAGTCTTGCACGGCCTGGAAAAATGTATCGGAGCCTGAACTTCAGCTTTAGAGATGTCTCAGTGGAAAAAAGCTCGGGATTTAGATGCACAAACTGCTGCTGTCAACCTGCAGCACCTGGTATGGAGACAGCCCTATGCTGGATGGCGATAGCAAGCCAGTGTGCTCCAGGACCTTCCCCGACCTCTGCAAAAGGCATTTTCAACACACACATGCTCGCACACATAGATATATAGTCTGGCATGTGTATATACATACAGTTTGGCTTTTCGGTAACTTTTTCTGTAACTTTTTTGGGGGGGGTGGGGGTTCCCAAAATGAGCCTGTGGAACAAAATCACAGCTCGATGGCACATGGATGTATCTAGCAGTGCCAAATTCTGGTACAGCAGTCGTCAGAAGCATCTTGCCCAGGTACTTCTGTTGTGTTTTTATTAATAGGGGCTGCTGTAAAGCTGATCTGAATTTATGGAGGCATTTATTAAAGGGGAAGGTCACTTGAACAATATTCAAGCAACACCACCCATCTGGCTTGGTAGCAGCCTAACTTACCTACAGCCATTTGAGCCCAGCATTGTCAGACCAGTTGAGATGAGACGTATGGTCCTGAGAAGCACGCTCATAAAGTCAGGATTAGCACCAGTAATTCGCGAGATGAGATGAATCATTTTCTGAGACTGCAAAATATGGGATTCTGGCGTCGCGTTGGCTGTCATCAGCTCAGCTTATTTCCAGCCTTCCGGTGCCCCGGTGGTTCCTATAAAAGCTTTAGCTATGGGGAGAGGCTATCGCGGGCTGGTGGGTCGGTGCAAAACACGGCGCTGCAAGTCAGCGTAGCACTGGAAATGGCCCAGGTCGAGCTTAAACGAAAAAGCTTAAAGCAAACTGTTTCACCTACCATGTCCTGGAGGAAACTCCCTCAGAGGAAAGGCTCAGCCCTGCCGACCGTGTGTCAGGGTGGCTGCACCGGCGGGGGAGCCCCCGTGACTGCTGCATGTGCATGGGCTAGCGCACGCCTGGTTGCAGGAGCACGTGCACAGACATGTAACTAACTTCTCCAGGGTAGAAATGCAGGTGTGAAAAAGCCCTGCTTCCCCTTTCAAACTGTCTTATTTTCAGCACTGATGACTTGCCTGAAATGGCGTGTTTGTACAGGCTCTCATCTTTCCAGTGCACCTCGTGCAGTAGAGGAGTAGATTTAAAAATGTGGCTGGACAAGGAGTGATGTTTTGGAGCAGTACGTGAGCCACGAGATGCTCAAATATCTTCTTGTGTCCTTGATGCCGTGAGTGCAGCCGCCCTGATTTTTTTCCATATGCTGTTGTCTCTGACATTAATTCATGGCATTAACTAATGCAAGAGTAAGCGGGGAGGAGGAGCAGGTTTGTAGAGAAACAGCTGGGCAATGGGTATTTGCAGACCTTTTACAAAGATGGGAAAAATACAATTCTTGCTGACTTGCTACTCAGCTTTGGTATTTTATAATAAACCAAAAAAACTACCAATAATGAGCAGATTGAAGGAATTCCCCTCCTAAAATCAGATCTATCAGAAAGCTTATTCGGGAGATGAATTATTTTTGTTAATTTGATGCTGTGAATCGTCCACGGTTAGCAGCCCCCAGCTGGTGGGCATCCCCGGGATTACCGGGAGTTTGGGCACAGCTTGTGACTGCCACGGTCCAAGGGGCATAAACTGGTTACTGGCCACACGCATCCATGGAGACTCACCAATTTCGAGCAGCAAAGCCCTGTCTGTGTCCTGATGATTTTCCGTGTGGTCTTGTCCTTCTTGCAGCCAAACCTTACGAGAAGGCAATACTAAATTAGTAGGCAAGTGATTATCAAAAGCAGTATCCTCTTGCCCCATGATGGGGCATCTGATCCCATTTGTACTGGGGTGTGTGGTGGGGAGAGAAAAAGAAGGAGGAAAGAAATTGCAAAGCTATTTTTAACTTTTATTGCCCGTGCCAGCGTTTCAGCTGGAGCACAGCAAGGGTGCTGGGCTGGGGCAGGCAGAGCGTGACTGCTATCGGCGGGTCATATCAGTAAAGTGAGACACGTCAGACACCTGTAGCATGCCCACACCTCCCACTTAAATATATGTAGATAGATAGATGTAGATATGGATATGGATATAGATTAGATATAGCTAGAGTATTTATTTCTTTTCTGTGTGTTTCCAGGTCCCAACTGCTTCGCTGGCACCACCATCATCCCGGCCGGCATCGAAGTGAAGGTGGACGACTGCAACATCTGCCCCTGTGCCGGCGGCGACGGGGGTCACCAGCAAAACCTTCGAGGGGGCCACGCAAGCAGAGATGGTTTTTTACTAACGGGAGAAGCCCACTCTCTTTCGCACTCACGCTCTTTTCTCTTGCTTCACCTAATATGTATATGGTCTCTCGTCTCTCGATATCTACTCTGCTTTTGTAATTATCAGTGCTTGGTAGGGAGTCGGTGATCAGGTTTTTTTTTTTTGGAGTTGCGAGGGAGGCCGGAAAAAAAGAAAAACCCGGGCAAGCTCTTTTAGCTGGTGATGCCTCCAAGACGCCAGTGAATTCACTGTTCTCACTTCCGGCAACGTGGACTGCATTTTGCAATTTTTATTTATTTCACTCTTTCGCTGTTGTGATTTTTTTTTTTTTAAAGCCTCTTCCTCAGCTGGGCTCATCGGGGCAATACAGGTATGAGTGAAGCAATTAGTTATTTTTTATAGTGTCTACTGAGGCTAAAAAATAAGGGGAGGGAGGGCGACTGAGGACAAGAGGGATGTAGAAATTAAAAGGGGAGAAGGGATTACAAATCACAGCTGGAATGTAACCTGCGGAAGGACTGAGCGAGATGCACGGGTATGTGACTGGACAGCCAAGGAGCAAGCCGTATCTGTGTTATACTTTCCCCACTGAGTGGGGACAATAAAGTTGAAGCCACCTACACACTCACCGTGACTTCGATGAGACCGAGAGCCAATGCCAGGCCACGCGGGCAGGCAGGTGCAGCAGCCAGGAGCAGGCAAGCCAAAATTATCTGAAAGACACCCCCCCCCCCCAAAAAAAGACCTCTTCTTACCTTAAAAAGTGCTGCATTTCTCTCCAGCTCTTTATTTTGGGCCAATTTCAGTCTCGACGATTTAGCGGGCCGAGCTCATACGGGCTGTAGTTTTGCTGGCTCAGGCTGTGCGTTAGCACGTCTTGCTGCATGATGCCTCTTGGGTGCAAGCGGTGGCGTCAAGGTAAGTAGGTCCCATCTGAGCTTCTGCCCCACATCTCCTCTGCCTCCAGAGCGCTGGCATTTTTACCTGAATTATCCAGTGTTCGCCATGCGAGTCTGCCTTTGCCTCTTGCTGCGCTGCGGCCAGCAGGCGCGGTGCCAAACCTGCCCTTGCTGAAGCCAACGGCAACGTGTTTCCATTGACTTTAGTGACAGTGGGACTTGGCTGCCACATATGAAGAAAGAAAAAAAAAAAAAGTCAAAACCCACCTCTGTCCACAGCCCCTCAGGAGGTTTCCGTACCCACCTCTGGTGCATGGAAATCTCGTTGCGAAATGAAATGTCGTGTCGCCGCGCCACTGTACCCGGCAAGACACGGCTTTGCCCCCATGCCCAGGAGATGAGTAACACCCGTGGGGGCTCTGGGACTGACCCCACCACGTGCAGTCGCGCGCGTCCAGTGCATTGCAGGGGACATTGCTGGACCTCCACAAGCACGTCAGCCCCGCTAAACCGGACCGGCCGGCCTTCGTGCCCGAAAACTTTTCTCGGAGGGCCAAATTATAAAGTTTGCATTTGCCCTGGCATCCTTGGAGCAGCGCTGTGCCACAGGCAGCAAGATCGGCTATTGCATAGGGAGCAAATCGCTCCGAGGTAGCCACCCGTGTGCAACACGGAGGCCTTCCCCCTGCAGCCAGAGGGAGCCGCCTGGGCCCTCCAGGTGTCCGTGCACATCTATATTCCTGGGAATAAAAAGAAAAAACCCAAGAGGGCACAGGAAAGGTCTCTGCAGAAGGTAGTGACAGACCTGCCACAAGGAGGGGGCCTTGCGGTGTTGGTGAGCCGCAGGTTTGCACTGTTTTGCCTTCCCTGGTTGCTCTGCAAGCGGTTTCCTCGCGTGGCTGTTTGGCATCGACACCTCCTGGTTTCTCGGGCCACGGCTTCGAACCGATACTGTGAGAGAAAAGCCTGCACTGCTTCACCACCCTACTCTGTCCAGGTGACCGCAGGAGTCTTTCAAATCACTGCTCATGCTTTATTTATTGCTTTTCCATTATTCTCATTAGGATGATGGGGATTGTTTTGTTCAGGCCTCGGTCCGACGCCTGCCCTTAACGGCGGCGACAGCAAAGTCTCCTTACAGTTTCCTAATCTGATGTAAATCAGCGCATTCAGTTTATGCACACTGTTGCCTTTATATTCTTATTTCTTCCCCACTTTTTGTTTTTCCCGGAGGCCCAGTTTCTTAGCGGAGGTAGGAGAACCAGTGAGCTCCCGATGGGTTTACTTCTGCTGAGAATTTGCCTCCTGCAATTTTAACAGATACCATTCAATAAGTCATCGTCATATTTATTTGTAAGCTGTTGCCTGTCAATGACTATCCAGTTGCAAAATCTTTAAACAATAGTGTGCCTGAAACTAGTGAGAAAACAAACTATACTGTAAAAAAAGGGGGGGGGGTTCTAGAAACAATATTTGATGTGTAAAAGAATATATTATTAAAAAATTATTTTGTTAAATATAAAGTGTATGAACCAGCAACAACTAAAATTATATATTTGTGGTGTATTTTACTCTCCCGCGCTCCTATCCCCCCAAGGTCATTCATAATCCCTCATCGCATCCTTGCCTCGCGCCAACCACGGGTGTTCGGGGGGGGGGGGCTAGCGAGCGCTTTGCCGAAGTCCTTGAGCTACCAACAGGCTAGGTTGGCCAGCGAGGTCCTCAGCTGCTGTAAATCAGCAGAGCTTCACCAGCACTACTGAAGCGGCACTGATTTCAGCTATGTCCCAGCATCCTTTATGTCCCCCCCGTTTTTATGCGTTGCAAGGTATGTGCCAAACCGGGATTCCCTTCTCAGCCCCTTTCGCCATTACCTTCCAAAGGAGCAATGAGTCACAGTCACTGACCGCCACAATTTTGAGGCTTTTCCTTTAAACTCTATAGGCTTTTTGCCTGTTTTGGTGCCATTTTATATTTGATGCCATTTCATGAACATGGAAATTTGCTTTCAGCTCACAAACGCCATTTGGTACCTCCAGCTGCATCATTATTTACACTGATTAGTAGTTGCTCTAATTAATTACAGCTTAATTACTGCAGTTAGTGTTTGTACAGTGCTTGGAACAAGTACAGCACTATACGTGCTACATATTCTTATTTTCTTCATTATTAATTAAATATCATCTACACTTCCACACTGTGCTACTTAATTTTTTTCCAAGAGGCGATGCTCTCATTCCCACCTTGTAGGATCTTACCCACCGCTTCCAACGGGTTGCTTTGCCATGCTAGCTGCCAGGCGGCATAGGAGCAGGAAGAGCCTTTTATTTTTGCTCTGTATCTATGGTGAGGCAGATAGCTTGCTAAGCAACATGGGAATGCTTTTCTTTTATTCCCCCCCCCTCTTTTTTTTTCCCCATCTTTTCAGACTACTGAGTCTGAAAGCCAAACAAGAAAAGCTAATCACAGGGGAACTTCCCTAGGACCGCTCGCAGAGAGTGAACTAGAGAGAAAACGTCATGCAACACCAGAGAAAGGTCTGCAAGTCCCACGGCACGGTCAGGGCTGTCCACCAGGCTCTGAAGACCTGAGGTTTCTTCATGCCGTTACCTGATACGTGGTTGCCCTGAGCACGCATCATCACCAGGCCTGAAAACTTTTGTCTCCCCCTCCCTTGCCAGAGGAATGAGACTTCGGGGTTTCTTTGCCCACACCATGAAAAATAACTCCTCCCTCCACATGATTATTTCATTGACATGCACCTAGTCATCTGATGCACAGGGCAGAGAAAGCCATCCTTGCTTGGTCAGCATTAGCTTCCCTGTGTCACTGTGTCCCAGCTCCTTATTGCTCGCAAATGTTGATGGAAAGATGCTGGGCAACAAGCGAGTCCTTGCATTTGTGCACTGCACCTCCCTACGTCAGATGTGCCCAAAAACACAGCAGGGACGGGTTTCTCCTAGCACTGAGCATCTTCAGCCACGGCCTGGAGCAGCTCACTGCTGGGGTTGGCACAGGAAAGGTCAGGTGGTCACGGGGCAATTTGGAAGCTGTAGCATGACTTTGGGTGAAATGAGCCCGGGGCCAGCAGAGAGCAGTAACGAGCACACAGAAGTTCCTAAGTCCCTTAAGTAGCTTTGATTAGCGCGAAGTGTCTGTGCCCATGGACGTGGAGAAAACATACTGGCTGCACCTCCCTCCTGTCCCGAGTGGGAATTAGCAGGCAGCAGTGTCACCGACGTCGTACACTTTGGAGCTGCTGGTAAAATACTGTGCCTGCACCCGCTGTCCCCAAACAGCAGCAGGGCAGACGTGCAATCAGCATCGAGAACATCGATGTTCCCAATCAGCTAAAGCATTTTACATCTGCTCGGTGGCCACGCTGCTCACCGAGGTCAGGCAGACGTGGGGAGCACAGCGAGCCTCACCGCACAGTCGCGGTCTCCGCGTCCGGCGGGGCCACGGGATCGGTGTGGGCCCCGGCACGCAGGGAGGATCCGCGTGCACCACGCAGCCGTTGCACGGCGGGAGCCCGGCCCGCCTTCCTCCCCAGCCACTGAGTCCCATCCCAGTTCAAGCAAGCGCCTGATAAAATCAATCCTCCTGAGCGCGGCTGAAATGCTGCCCCCAGCCTCCCGTCTCAGGCCAGGCAGCGTGCCTCTAGCATTGCAGCTCCATTGAGCTCTCTCTGAGAGAGATATTTTTCTCTGAACCTGTGTATTTCCAAAGAGTTTCCGCCTCATCTCAATCTTCTTCCTTTTTGTTTGTTTGTTTGTTTGGGGCTTTTTTTTTTGCATTTTTAGTTCATTTCTCCCTTTAATTAATCACAGCGCTGGGCCAGCCAGACCCATTAACTACTCTTCTCATTTAGACCTTTCAGAGATGCAGTTGCAGATGCAATTTAATTTGTTGACCCATGATCGATAGCAATTAATACCATCTCTTTAATCTTGTTGAAAGGTTCGTCTGGGGCTTCCAGAGGCTGCTGTCTCAAGGGAAAAGTGTCTGATACATATGTTATTAGATGGAGGAGCACAGCCTCCTCCGCAGGCACCGTCCTTCCCCATCCCCCAAGCTGACACTCAGGGAGACGGCCGATTTCAGCAGA